TACAGCTTAGTAAGTGTGAGACCTTGTGAGGAACTTATCCTCTGTCTGCATCAGTTTATCTATAAAACTGTCCTTCCTAGCATTACAAAGAATTTTCATGCACTAGTGTCATGTCTTCTTAATCTCTTTACATCATGCCAAGAATACAGCAGAACCCCAAGGAATATGTTTACTGAAAGGATAAATGAAAAACTTGAAGATTAGTAAAGTATGACTATTTGCAGCAGTGTTGGGGAGACATGACAAGGGGTTGAGATGATAGAGGAGAGAGACATGTACATCAATAATAAGAAAAGCAGATAATTAATTCAAATAATATAAAAACATACAAAGCCACATGAAGTAGAGCATGGAATGCCTTAAGGACTATAGATACATGTGGTTAGTTGAAATGTCTGATCTGAAAGAGGCAGGTTGGTTTCAGATTTTTAAAGACCTTGAATAATACACTACAGTGCTTGGGATTCACCCTGTATGTTGATGGAAAGTCAGTAATAGAATTCAAACAGAACAGCATGTACAAATATGAGCTTTAAGGGGATTTGTACATTGGGGAGAATATAGGAGAAAACAGAAGCTAGAAAAAAAAGGGGAAGAATGAAAATTTCTTAGTGGTTTATTATGAGTGTACTATCTCATTTGATAATTACTAAATTATTTTAATATAATTAGAATTATATGAGGAAATATATATATATGTATATATACATATATATGTATATATATATATATATATATATATACATGAAGCCTATACTCAGTAAATGTCTGCTGAATAATTAATTCATATATATATATATATATATATATATATACACACACACACATACACATATATATTTTATTTGACAAGGCATCACAGCCATTGAGAGGCAGAACTGGGCATTGAACACAGTCAGCTGACTCCAGGGTCAGCACTTGCCCACACAGCTTATCACCTACCTCCAGCTATCAGGTATTTGCATTAATCTCTAGATTAAATAAAAATGAAATGGTTGAACTGAGGCAGTGGCCACAGAAATAAACAGGAAAAAGAGATTCAGGGAGCATATAGGAAGTAAACTAATTGGACTTGGTGACTAGTTAGTTAGACATGGCGGTTAGAGAAAGGAGAAATTGAGGGTGTTTTTCTCTCAAATTTGGGATGATTTGAAAATGCCCCAAAAAGGATATAGCTGGAAATTTTGAAAAACAATACTAGAAAAAGAAAATAAAACCTTTTTCCAGGCATTCATATATAGAACACTATTGTAGGTTTTTTTTTTTTTTATTTCTATCCACTGAATAACAAAATAAGGGGGAGTGTGGGTGGCTCAATCGGTTAAGTGTCCAACTCTAGATTTCAGGTCGGGTCATGATCTCATGGTTCATGAGTTTGAGCTCCACCCTGGGCTCTGTATTGGCAGTGTGAAGCCTGGTTAAGATTCTCTCTCTCTTCCTTTCTCTGCCTCTCCCCACTTGCTCTTTCAAAAAGTAAATAAAAATAAACTTAAAAAAAAAAAAGAAAGAAGGTTGGTACTTCCACAATTGATTTGTGTATACATGAGAGCAAGTTCAAATGTCCACTATATGTATTTAATGATTACATTAATAATTGCTATGGACTGAATGTTTGTGTCTCCCCAAAATTCATATGTTGAAGTCCTAATCCCCAATGTGACTGTATTTGGAGATGGGGGTCTGTGAGGAAGTAATTAAGGTTAAAAAGGTTCACAGAGTGGAGCCCTGGTCCAAGAGAGCTAGTGCTCTTATACAAGGAGGATGAAACACCAGAACTCTTCCTCGCCTTCTCTCTGCCACCTGAGGACACAGTGAGAAGGCAGCTGTTTGCACACCAGAAAGAGAGACCTCATGAGAAACCAACTATGTTGGCACCTTGCTCTCAGACTTCCAGCCTCCGGAAGTGTGAGAAAATAAATTTCTGTTATTTAAGCACCCCCCCCCCCCAGTCCATGGCATCTTGTTTTATCAGCCTCAGTTGATGTTTTATTAATTAATGTGACTGATATTTATTGAGTTCCTTCTATGTGAAGAGCAGCATGATAGATGTTGTGAAGTTGAATGAGATATTATCTCTGCCTTTAAGAAATTTACAAAGTAGCAGAGGAAATTAGAAACGTTAGAAAGACCCTTAGCTCCCAAATCTAGAAAATAGGAATCATAAACAAATGTCAGTGATGTCATTAACTGGTCAAATGTTCTGGGAGGCATTCTGGACCTTGTGCAAATTTTTTGTCATCAAACAATCACTGTATTGCAATCCTACGTTTGAGCACTTGTTCCATATTTAAGGAATTTCAAAAGCTAGGCAATAAATTCCATTTTTGCCTTTGAAGTTTAAAAGAAACAGTTATGACAAATGTATACATAGGTCATGGTATATCAATGGATTTATACAAATGATATTTACACAAAGGTGAACTTGCAGGATTAAGAAGTTACTTTGGATAGCAAACAAGGAGTTCTGAAGGAGACATCTTTTGAATTGGGTCTTGAATGAATAATTTTGCAGTAAGTTACCCAGTATGGTAACTTCATGTAAAGGGTTATTTTAAAAAAAGATATACTAAGCCACCAAATATAAAGGAAAAGATGATTCTGAAACATTTCACCATTAGCGGAAATGGATATGATGCAGAGAAAAGAAAAGAATTTAGGAGATCACATTTCTGAGGTTGTTTAAAGTTACCTACCAGTTGACAACTAAGTTAAAACTCAAAATATTTTCCCACTGGAATTTGGCCAACTAACAATTCAGAGAAGCCAACAATTTGTTTTAGTATTGGTTTGAAACTACAAGAAAATATGAATAATAGTCATCATATCAGCCTATCAAACACACAGTAGATTTTATTCTAATCACTTGCTTCATTGTCTATAAGCCTTCTAGACCTCACTGATAAGCTCTAAGCAAAAGGGCTTTGTTTTCCTTGTTTACCAATGCATAGTATATAATCAGGAATGAATACAATTAGGAATGAACGTATTTTAGTTGAACCAATAAATTAATAAATCTAAACTTATTTCACTCTAAAATGCAAGGTCAGAATTTAATAATAGAAATTAATTGGCCTTGCCACTTTCCCTAAGGATATAATCGCATTTCAACATGAATTAATATAAAAATTACCTAACATTATTAACCATTAAAACTGTTCACATGTACTTGATTTGGTATGATGTAAGTGTACCTGCAATTATTTAAATTCCTTTTATACAGTTGCAAATAACACAGAGAATCATTAAGGACAAGAAACCACATTTCATGACATGGTGATGAAGGGCTAGTCAAATGCTGCAATGATGGAAAGGGCATTCAGTAGTAGTTCAAAGGTATATAAAATACAGAGTAGATGGGTGCCTGTGTGGCTTAACAAAGTTAAGTGACCAACTTTTGATTTGGGCTCAGGTTATGATCAGGAGATCAAGCCCCGCTTCGGGCTCTGTACTGACAGCAAAGAACTTGCTTGGGATTCTCTCTGTCCTCTCTCTCTGCCTCTCCTCCTGCTCTCTCTCTCTCTCTCTCTCTCTCAAAATAAATAAATACACACACACACACACACACACACACACACACACACACATATATATGTGTGTGTGTGTGTGTATACGAGAGAGAGAGAGAAAGGCAGTGAACATAGTTTTATTTAATAAATTCTACAGGAATATTTAGGATAGTATAATATGTAGGGATTTTAGTAATGATAGTTTGCTTAATTTTCAAGGATGTACAAATTATTAAAGTAATATTTAAATATTGCTGACATTTGCCTAGGGAGGTAGAAGTCACTCTACTAGACACAAAGCATTTTTATATCATTTTTATTTTTTAATGAGTAGGACAACAAAAGATATTATCAGTCAAGTCAATCAGCTTGATGTTGAGATCTGAAAAGATACTGGAACAAACTAACCAAATTAAAAGCTATGTTTAAAGGATGATAAATATATATGATAAAGTGACAATACACACAACCAGTTATGTTAGCTCAATTTAATTTATATCTGTGTAGGAGTACAGGGTATAAAGTTATAGAGCAACAGTATTTGTAATACCATTCAAGTCAGCATTAGAAATATTTCTGACTTTACCCTGAATGTCTCTTGCTATTTTTTTTTTAATTTTTTTTCAACTTTTATTTATTTTTGGGACAGAGAGAGACAGAGCACGAACGGGGGAGGGGCAGAGAGAGAGGGAGACACAGAATCGGAAACAGGCTCCAGGCTCTGAGCCATCAGCCCAGAGCCTGATGCGGGGCTCGAACTCACGGACCTCGAGATCGTGACCTGGCCGAAGTCGGACGCCCAACCGACTGCGCCACCCAGGCGCCCCTCTTGCTATTTGTTTTAAAACAAACTAACAAAAATTGCTGTAATGTCATTTTCAAACAGGAGTCATCAGTTGCTAGTTGCCAATATAAGAGAAAAAAGGGACAATGCAGGAAAATATTACATAGATCTGAGATTATGTCTAGAAGTAGTCTCTTGGTATTTTAGTAAGATGACTGGGAAATGGAGTCTAAGCCTGAATATTTTTGCTCATGATACAACAGTGAAGTGTGGCTGGTTTTATAGAAAATATGTAAAGGGCGCCTGGGTGGCGCAGTTAAGCGCAGTTAAGCACTTAAGCACTTAAGCTTAAGTCGGTTAAGCGTCCGACTTCAGCCAGGTCACGATCTCACGGTCTGTGAGTTCGAGCCCCGCGTCAGGCTCTGGGCTGATGGCTCAGAGCCCGGAGCCTGCTTCCGATTCTGTGTCTCCCTCTCACTCTGCCCCTCCTCCGTTCATGTTCTGTCTCTCTCTGTCCCAAAAATAAACGTTGAAAAAAAAATTAAAAAAAAAAGAAAATATGTAAGAAATTTAAGCAATCCTTATCTGTCTTTTACATAGTCAGAGTGGGGAGGAAAATAGTCCAGTCATCAGAAATATATACAAAGAAAGTTGCTGAGCAAATTATCTGCATGTGTATCTATGATAGCAAAGTGAAGACATAAAAGTACCTGAGGTATATTGAAACACTGTCAGAGGAGGGGGCACTCTTCATGCTTGTTAAATTTCCTAAAGAAAAAAAAAAAAAAATCACATGGTCTATTAGAGAATTGGAATCTGTAAGGATCTGGTCCAGACAACTGAAGACAGCTCTGCTATTCACCTAGAGGATGCAGGTAGGACTGATTCAAAAGGAAAGTAATATGTTTTAATATGTCAATTATGTAAGTTGCCTGCTGGCAAATACACCCAGCTGGCATTTGGGAATATGATTCTAGCTTCAATGGGTGAAGTCAGAATGAGATATATGCATTTGGGAGTCATACAAATATACATGGATGGAAGTTGAAACCACAGTCAGGGATAAGCATATCTAAGTAGGACAGGTAGATGATAAATGAAACAGTGGACCAAACCCTAGATAATTCTAACATTTAATGGACAGTCAGAAGATGAGGGTAATATTGCTCCCCACCTATGTCTTAGTCCTATACTTACTAAGCCATGATATAGTGAGAAATCCTTCTCATTTCCTCCATTTAAGTCATTGATGTGCCATCCCTAATTTTTGTGTTCTTCCCTCTATATAACCCCCTGGTCAAATCCTATCAACCTCTCTTTAGAAATACTTAGGCTCAACCTTTCTTTTATATTTCAACACAATATCCAAGGCCAAGGACTTCATTACTGCACAAACTCCTATCTAATAATGTCGATAAAGACCCAGTAGCTTTGTCCAGTTCAGCCTGGACAACAGACTTACTATTTCAAATCCCTTTCTACCAGACTTCAGTGTGCAGCAATGAAAGTTCCCTTTAACATGGATTTCTGATGTTCATATCCTCAGGCAGAGGTACCTGAAGCCTGAAAATGAACTCAGACATTTCAAAGGCCAGGAACTTGGTCTTCTACAATCATTTTCACTGTTGCTATTTCCTACCATCAGAATGGGGGCCAAAATATGCTTCACTTCCACCAGGCTTCTTTTCTTGGTAGTTTCATCTCCACAAATTATAATCTAACTCATCTTTGAAGGCCTGCTTTTTCAGGTAAAGACATTCAAATCTAAATCATCCTTCAGGGTTCTAATTCCTCTATAAAGTCTCCCTAATACAGATATATCATTCTCTCTAATATCTGAACACCTGCAAAAATTATTATTATAATTAAATTTTTTTCTGGTGTAGGTTTCAAAGTTCCATAATTCTTATACGTAACACTGTGACTTCTTCCACTAAGTTTCTCAAGATTAGGGACTATGCCTAATGCTTTCTTGTTTTCAACAGTACAGAGTACAGTTAGATAAACTGCAAACTAAATATGTACTTCTTTAAGTTGCAAAAGCAAGCACAAACCTAGTCCTCATTGTCTACTTCTTTGCTTTCAATAAAATGACACCAAAATAAGTGATATATATTTATGTAAAGAATTGAAGATTGTTAAAGAGAGCCTATAAGAATTTTAGTACCAGTACAGAAAAAATGAGCCCCTGATTAGTCTGCCCCAATTGATGACCTAAGAGAAGACAACTCATTAAATGAATGAGGATAGGAAAGAAGGCACAGAGGCATGATCAAGAATGAATAATTAGAACCTAAGAAGTCCTAGGGCACCTGTCTGGCTTCAGTCAGTGACGTGTGAGACTCTTGATCTTGGGGTTATTGGTTTGAACCCCATGTTGGGTGTAGAGATTACTTAAAAATAAAAAATCTTTAAAAAAAGAACTTAAGGAATATTGCCCTCACAAACACAATTTACAAATTGTGCACTAGTCCTTATTCAATACGCTATTAATCTTATATAAAATAAGATACCAGGCATAACACTTCATTGAAATATTTCCTCCAATAAAAGAAGTCAAAAGTTTCATGAACAGAAATAAAGGAGGTAATTTAACAAGCAAAATGAAAATATTAAATATGCACACAAAGTAAATGTATTAAATGTATATCAATAAGATTAATCATAACAGTTGTTTCTATGGGTTTGTACCAGACATAATTCCCTACTTCTCCTCCATCTGGTATTGGAGGTTTCATGGTAGGAATGGGATTTTAAGAACTTATTGCCCTACTCATTCTGCTTGTATATCATCTTCTCTGTTGCTTCAATTTCATCCATAATCACAGTTTGTGTATCGTTCCTCTCCTGCTCAACATTCATTTTGGTTTCTTCCACACTTAGAATTAAATTAAAAGTATTGGGGGGGTCCCAAGTGATCTGGCTTCTAGTTACTTCTCCATTTATCTCCACCATTTTCCCTTCACCCAATGCACTTCAGCCAAGTTGGCCTCCTTGTTCTTCCTTAAACAGTCAAGTGTGCTACTGCCTTAGATACTTTATACTTATTTTACCTCTGTGTGAAATGCTCTTCATGGCTTCTATACGTCTCCATTTAATATTATAACTCAACATTCTGTACTAGCAGCCCTACCTTTTCCTAATGATCCTGTTCAATTACTCTGCCAGAATAGTGACTTCTTTCCTTGTCTGCTCATTTCTTGGTACCAGATGTCTAAAGTTACTGGTGATAGCTATAAAACTATGGTCTAAGTTAAATGAGACCCTTACTGTATCCCCAGGTGGAAAACTCCCCTCTCTGAGAATCAAGAGCTCTAGGCCTGCAAACTCTAAACTTTCAGAACAGAGACTATAAATTCATCAAGTACATGCCTATTGTCTTAGTCCCTGGACCCACACATTTATCCAGTGGGGACACAGTACTATATAAATGCTACGGATCTAGAGTGTATACCATATTCTATACGATGGTGTCCCAATCTGGCAATTCAGCTGTGCTTTAGGAAGCCATCCCACCTCTCTATAAAGCCAACAGCATTTGAATATGACTCAAACTCACATGTCCCAAACTCACATTTCCATCATCTTTATTGAAATTTGTCCTTTATCATCTGAGGTGGTAATACATCAAGTCTTAAGTTAGAAGGTCAAACAATATATACATCTCTCACTAATGCTGCTGGCCAAAACTTTATCATCATGAGAAACCGTCATATAACAAGAACTGTGTCAGTTTCGGTCAAGTTGAGTTATTACCCCTTCCAAAGCAAAAGAGGCCCAATGTCCATCCACTTGCCACAAGTGGCGGGTTGGCTTTTTTTGTGTGTGTGGGGGGGGGGGGTGGGGTAGGGGAGATAATACCATATCATAGCCACAGTATTAATATCTACTGTTGACAGGTTAGATATTGGCATTAGAAATAGCTGGATCTGGGGGCGCCTGGGTGGCGCAGTCGGTTAAGCGTCCGACTTCAGCCAGGTCACGATCTCGCGGTCCGTGAGTTCGAGCCCCGCGTCGGGCTCTGGGCTGATGGCTCAGAGCCTGGAGCCTGTTTCCGATTCTGTGTCTCCCTCTCTCTCTGCCCCTCCCCCATTCATGCTCTGTCTCTCTCTGTCCCAAAAATAAATAAACGTTGAAAAAAAAAAAAGAAAAAAAAAAGAAATAGCTGGATCTGTCTTAGTGCCAGCCCATAATGTAGTGTGCATATATCGTCTCCCTCCTTGCCACCATTAGTACCTCATTCATGTACCCATATTTCAACACTTGGGAGAAATTCACTAATAAAAACTTGCTGGATCATTCTTTCTACTTGGTTGTTTAGTGTCTTTTATATGGTGGTAACCTCTGGTGGGTAATACAGAAACCTTCAGATAGATAGATAGATAGATAGATGATAGATAGATAGATAGATACATAAATAGATAGATAGATGATTCCATAGACCCTTGAACAGAATATTTTAGTCTTTTCCCTTCCAGACTTACCAGTCAGCCAGGCTACTTACTACTGCCTATAAGTCCATGTATATTTTTACCTCAGGGTCATTTCCCTACCAAATAGATCCCCAAAATTCCAATGACTGGAAAAAGCTCCTCTCACTGCACTCCCTTTGACAAATGCCTCTGAGTGGGCTTGCATTGCACCATTAACTCATGGACATATGAAGCCTAGTCAATTGTGAAGTATGCTTAGCTATTTTCCACTGTCATTTGCCATGATCCCCGTTGATAAAGTGGTACCAAATTGATAAATTAGAGATATCACAGAGATCGCCATCCTGTTTAAGTTTGATATTCTTTAATTTCTGAGGTAATTAACTTCCCGTACCCACAGTATGTAGTATTGTTTTGATTTATGGCCTTGGATGAGTAGTTTTGTTTTCCACTTGGCTTTCACCTCTACTACACCTCTTGCTGGGCCCATATTTATAAGAAGCTTTCCTTCAGTCAGTGGGTTCTGGATCAAGTAGAGAAACCTATCAAGGGACTTTTTGTTGAGGTGACTGCCATCAGGCTTTTGATCAGCCTCCATTCTCTATTTCTTTTGAGTGAATAAATTAAGCCAATCCATATTTTGGCTGTCCATGTATCTTGCCTCTAGTAACACTGTGTTCTCTTAACCATTTCTCTGGCTACCACACCAGTCTTACTATTCATTGACATAGTAGCACTCATCCTTTTTCTGACGATTAAGTACCACCACCTCATCCACTGTCATGGATTCCAAGATTTCAGGATATCATTATTCCCATTACCATCAAGGCACTCAATTCCATAATAGTATCTCCTATCATCCCTGGCTACAGAGTACAGAAATTACTGAGTTTATCATTGCGGTTGGTGCTGCTCTTATCAGTATATTCCTTATCACTTATGGAAGAAACTGTTTTCTGGGCTATTTTGTGCAACATATCCAACCAGCTAGTGGAGAGTTCCAGCCTTACATGGTAGACCCACTCTACCATACTCACTCTACGAGTCCATTGATCCTTCATCACCTGCTAAAGTTGTACCAACATTTATGCTTCAATTTGTTTGTCCCCAACTCCCAAGTTTCCAAGAGCCATCTTAGCTACTTGTTGACACCATACTCAAGGCTCATGCCTAGTGCTAAATTCTGTTCCATAGGAAAGTATTTGCATATTGATCAGTTCTCCCCTATTGAACTTTATACCTCTGCCCCCTTGATTCAGCACCCTCAGGATCAAGTCTCATGCATACCCCCTAGATTCCTACTAATACATGTTAGGCATACATTGAACTCCCTTG